TTACCCAGCACTGGGTTGTATTTAACCCAGCATTTTTTAGAGTGTGGGATAAAAACTCCAATTAGGATTCATTTGTTCAGCAGATGTGATTTTTCTACAGGAGACCCAAATTAAAGCAACCGAACAGCGTAGGCTGCGCTGCAGTTGGATATCTCAAGTTTATCAATCACCATTCACTTCTCATGCACGTGGGGTGGCCATTCTCTTTCGGAAAAATATTCCATTTCAATTTTCTTCTATGGTTACTGATCCTTATGGCAGATACATTATTGTTTCTGGTACCATAAATTCCTTCCCATTTACTTTCTTAAATATCTACGGTCCAAACACTGACGATCCTAATTTTTTCAAGAAGGTTTTTGACTTACTTCCTGATGGCAATAATTACAATATAATAATCGGGAGATTTAAATTGTTATTTAGATCCTTATTTAGACAGACTATCCACTCGTCCACCCACAGGAATTGCATCAGTACAAGTTTTAAATAACCTGCTTAATTGCAGAAATTTTGTGGATATTTGGAGAATTCAGCACCCTGTTGACAGAGATTATTCGTACTATTCGCATGTCCACAAATCTTATAGTAGAATAGATAATTTTTTGGTTGATTCAGTTAATTTAGCATGTTATTGATATCAGGTACTACAGCATATTGATCTTCGATCACAGCCCCCTTACCATGTCCATCGACCTATCTCTCCCTAAGCGATCTTATTCTTGGCGTTTCAATCCATCTCTGCTTACTGACAGTAAATTCGTAGAACACATTACCATCAAGCTGAAAGAGTTTATGGAGTTTAATGACAATGGGGAGGTGTCAGATTCTTTACTTTGGGAGACATTAAAGGTTATGCGCGGGCATATTATTTCTTACGAATCTGCTGCCAAGAAAGAAAGAAAGAAAGAGAGAAACGACTTTTAGAGATACAAAATGTTCTTCCTACTCTTGAATTGCCGTATCAGGTGTCAAAATCATCTGACGACTATAATAAGATACTGAAGCTTAAGTATGAATACAGCTGCATTCTTGGTGGTCAAATAAACAACCTCTTTTTGAGAATGAGGCAGAGGCATTTCGAAACGGGAGATAAGCCTGATAAGCTCTTGGCACAACAACTTAAAGGGGCTCAAGCTTCCAGGTCAATCTATTGCATTAAGTCTAAGGATGGCACACTGTTAACTGACCCCAAGGATATTAATGCCCTTTTTAAAGATTTTTATAGTGAACTCTATACTTCCAATAGTACAGCCACTCATTCTGATTTAACACATTTTTTTGACTCTCTTGAAATACCTAAACTTAGCGACATTGCTAGGTCCGACCTGGACTCCGATTTCACTTTGGAGGAGATAGTCGCTGCCATTAAGTCATTTCCAACTGGGAAGGCGGCGGGGCCAGATGGATTTAGTTCCGAATTTTTTTAAAGATTCTGTGATATTCTTGCCCCGCTCCTCCTTAGAATGATAATCAATTCTAAAAAAGATAACGTTCTGCCTAATACATTGTATGAAGCCAATATATCTCTCATTTTAAAGAAAAACAAAGATGAAACGACCCGGCCAGCTATAGACCAATTGCGCTTCAGAACTTTGATAGGAAAGTAATTACTAAAGCTTTGGCTATTCGGCTTAACAAACATCTACCCTCCATCATTCATCCTGACCAGACCGGGTTTATTCCTGGCAGATTCTCTTTTTTTAATGTGCGTCGCCTCCTCAACACAATATATGCTAAGCAGGCGAAAGTACTAAAGCTTTGGCTATTCGGCTTAACAAACATCTACCCTCCATCATTCATCCTGACCAGACCGGGTTTATTCCTGGCAGATTCTCTTTTTTTAATGTGCGTCGCCTCCTCAACACAATATATGCTAAGCAGGCGAAAGCTAATGGAGCAGCAATTCTGTCCTTGGACGCGCAGAAAGCTTTTGATCAGGTTGAGTGGCCTTACATGTTTGGATCACTGCAAAGGTTTGGGTTTGGCGAGACATTTATATCATGGGTCAAAATAATATATGCCAGACCAAAGTGTTCAGTTCTAACTAATGCAGACAGGTTGCTTGAGTTCCCTTTACACTGCTCAGTGCAACAGGGGTGTCCCCTTTCACCCGCCCTTTTCGCCATTGCGATAGAACCCCTTGCCTTAAGTATAAGGCGTCATACGGGTATCCCAGGTCTTGAAGTGGGAGGCAAGAAAGTTCTTATTAGTCTGTATGCAGATGATGTAATATTGTATTTGCAGAACTCTGAAAGATTCCCATCCCAGTTCCCATTCTTTTAGATTTAATTACTTCTTTTGGGAAATGATCAGGGTATACAATCAATTTGTCAAAGAGTAACTTTATGCCTTTCTCTGATACTTATAGACCTGGTTTTTGGGAGAATATTCCATTTAAAATAGTCAGAGATCATTTTGTGTATCTCGGTTTGACAATCCCCAAAGATTCAAAATTATTGTTTAAGTTGAATTTTGTGGAGTTTCTTTCAAAGCTCAAAAGCAATATAGGGAGTTGGAAAATTTTACCTTTGTCTATGATTGGGCCTATAAATTCAATAAAAATGGTTTCCCTTCCCAGATTCCTATATCTTTGCCAGAATCTCCCTGTTTTTCTTACCTCTGCTTTCGTTAAGGAACTGGACTCTATAATCCTGTCTTATGTTTGGAACTATAAGACACACAGGATCTCTAAAATGCATCTACAAAAATTCAAATCTGTAGGCGGTCTGGGTATGCCCGTATTTAAGCATTATTATTGGGCCGCCTATATTAGGGCTTTAATGTACTGGGTGAAGGGGGCACCGGCCAATTTGACCCCTGACGTCCCACTGTGGGTACAAATGGAGACTAACCTGACGATATGTGGGACAAGTGTCTGGCTACAATACAGGTCTGCTCAGTTAACAGCAGACACCAACTGATCCAATTCAAGGTTGTTCATCGCTTGCATTACACTAAAACCAAACTGCATAAAATTTTCCCCTCTGTATCACCAATGTGTGACCGGTGCAAGGTGGCAGAGGATACAACTTCTCTCTAAGGATACATGAAGATGTCCAAGACATTAAAAGTTCCTAGAGACACAGCTGGCAGCCTAATTCTTTAGCTTAAAATGTGTTGTACCAGAAAACAGTTGAGGGTGTTGAAAAAAAAGCACAATTTCATAATAAATTTGATCAGAGCAACTGAGAAAAACCTGCAATGTACAGCCAAAGACTTGCAAGTTGACCCGATGAAAGGAGGAAAATCATTTCAATGCAGAGTATAAGATGAACACTAGACAAGTATGGTCTTCGTGTTGGGGCATCTTGCTGAATGCCACTCTTGACCAAGAAGAACATAAAAGACTTGAACATGTTAAAATTCATTTGGGTAGACCTGTGGAGTTCTGGAAGAATGTTTTATGGAGCGATGTGTGCAAATATTGTCTGGGCTTTAGTCAAGCATATTTGACTGGTATTCCAAGGCTTACAATAGGCCTCTTCCACCGGATGCAGAACTTGCTATCTTTGGTTTTTCACAGCGCACCTCCTGCCTCCCGGGGACATTACAGCAGTCTCTAACCCTGGGTATGATTGTGGCTAAGAGACTTGTGCTTAAGAACTGGAAGTCACCCTCACCCCCTTCCTTTCGAATGTGGATTATGGACATGATCTCTGTTATTCATATGGAAAGACTCAGATTCTTGAGAACTAATTATATTGAAAAATTTTCCGCTGTTTGGGGTTCATTTCTGGGCCATTTGGACAAGTTAACCGTTCAACCAGCCCCTAGTGGCTCCTCTGAGGCTAAAGCTGTACATCTTTCTGGGCACCTTGACTGATTGTTTTGCAGGTTTTTACTATAGTACTTTTGACTACTGAACTAAATATTTATTGTCATTATAATTTTTTAGTTACTTTATTTATTTATTTTTTCTCCGCTTGTGTGGTCCGAGACAGTGTTGTTTGTCTGTTCTGTGTTTATTTTTGAAAAACCCTTAAAATAAAGTATATATATATATATATATATATAAAGCTATAGAAGAAATAGTTTTATTACATTAGAAAGTCTAAGGATACATGAAGATGTCCAAGACATTAAAAGTTCCTAGAGACACAGCTGGCAGCCTAATTCTTTAGCTTAAAATGTGTTGTACCAGAAAACAGTTGAGGGTGTTGAAAAAAAAGCACAATTTCATAATAAATTTGATCAGAGCAACTGAGAAAAACCTGCAATGTACAGCCAAAGACTTGCAAGTTGACCCGATGAAAGGAGGAAAATCATTTCAATGCAGAGTATAAGATGAACACTAGACAAGTATGGTCTTCGTGTTGGGGCATCTTGCTGAATGCCACTCTTGACCAAGAAGAACATAAAAGACTTGAACATGTTAAAATTCATTTGGGTAGACCTGTGGAGTTCTGGGAGAATGCTTTATGGAGCGATGGGACCAAACTGGGACTTTTGGACCCATGGATCAGCAGTATGTTTGGTGCAAAAAAGGCAACGCTTATAAACAGAAGAACACCATCTCCATGGTCAAACTTGAAAGTGGACCAGTCCTGTTATGGGGGTGTTTTACTGTTGCAGGAAGTAAAAATCATGACTGTATGAAGGACCTCATGGATTCTTTGTAGTATCAGGCCATTTTGGTAAGAATTGTGATGCCTTTGGTGCAAAGCCGGAAGCTGATGATCAATGGACTTTCCTGCTGGACAGCCATCCCAAAGTATACATCCAAATCTACTTATGCTTGGTTCAGGGATCAGTCATAGGATGTACTTGAGTGGCCTGTTCAGTCTCCAGATGTAACTCTCATTGAAAATATTTGGTTGAATTTGAAGAAAGCAGTGACAATGTGAAAACCAAAGATTATCAGTAATCTGAAAACTTTTTCAGGCAAGGAATGAGCCAAGACTGCAGTAGAGAGTTGCCAGAAGCTTCTAAGCACGTTTATTGGTGGTTTTAAAGAATAAAAGATTCTGCACAAAATTTGACTTTTGGGGGTTGAATAATTTTGAACATGAATGTTTAGAGCCAATTTGATTTTTATCATTAGTCATCAATGTTACATTCTCAGAATCACTCAAATGTGTATTAAGCAACTTTCTCTAATGGTTTACTGATGCCTTTGTTGAATTGTTTTCATAAAGTTTCGTTCTCTGCAACAAAATGTATTGCAGGTCAAGGGGGTTGAATAATTTTGATTGCAACTGTATATTTTGAACCGTGTCCAGGAGAATTGAAACTGATTCATTACCTTTATCTGTATTTAATCTCAAATTATTTACTTTAGTAAATTTTTATTTTTACAAATCAGTTATACACCTTCAACAATGGTGGCACCAAATATGTGTAAAGCGAGTGTGTACCCCGAGTGTGTTTCTTCATAAATAAAACAAGAACCATCGGCGGCCAATTCTCCACACCACAAACTGACAAAAACTTCTTAACAACAAATACACACTTCACTCTCCTCCTTCCCTCCACTCTCAAGGCAGACATTTCTAAAATTATCCTTTCCAATCATCCTAATACCCGTCCGCTTGATTCTATCCCCACTCACTTCCTTCAGGCCATTTCTTCTTCAGTTATGC